CCAGAATGTCTTTCCTCAACCTACTTTTATTTCTTTGTATTTTGAAAGTATACAGGAAAATAGGGATTTGGATACATCCTTAATGACGACCACATCACACCTTTAATTCTCCTGGACCGTTGGTCATATCAAACACTACAACTTTTTCCCAGATGTTAAGTGTTAAGGTACAGAGATAAGACTGACCAAGCAGACTTACTGACTGGAGATTTGCACACCATTTGTTGGTGTCAGATAGTTATTCCCCCTGCCAGACCTTCAGGAACAGATAACAAGGGCTAATTGCCATTATCTCCCCCTGAGATTACCTAAACTGGAGTGCCGGTCCGACGGTCACTATTGACACAGTGAGCAGAAAGTGTTAACAGAAGAATTGACACAGTCTGATTTTATTGTGATGACAGGTGAAGTAGACTGGAGGTGTGACTAGGCCTATTAGCTGGGACCAGCTTAATTGAACCTGTAGAATGTGAGCGTGGGAATGCAAACAATTGTTGTACAGTCACTGACTGCCAGTGAATATACACCCACAGGGAGGAGCTGTGATATCCCTGAATGAGAATGATTTTAGGCGTAATGTAGGAGGAGCTTGATAAAAGTTATAAAGGGGTGAACTATAGGTTTGGTAAATGAGATCCTGTCGAGCACATGCCATCTGTTGGGCTTAACCTAAGCTTGAGACAGAACTTTTGGCATTGTGGTTTCATTTTTCCAGGTAAGATCGAAATTAGGTTCAAATCTATATTTTATGATAGAGATCTAATTGTCTTTTTGCTCAAGTGTGTCTTCATTACTTTGTAGTACTCCTAGGCGGACATTTCTTCATTCTCGAAGGGCACTGTCACATTGCTTTATATCCTATTTGATAGTGTCATGAATGTTTTTCGTGCACATGTGTTTCAATGTTGTAAAACCTAAATGTTGTTGTTGCCATTTTAATGAACTATCATATTTTTGAAATCACAAGCGTGAAGATAACTTTGGCAATCTTTTCACGTGTGGTTAATGTGAATCTGTATTACATACAGCTTACACACTGAAATGTGTTTAACTCTCGGGAGGCTAATGCGGAGATTGATCCCGGAGAGTAAATCCACGAGATTTGTTATTTGATTCGCACCAGAACTATTGTTAGCATTCTGGGCGCGTCGATTGTTCCAAGCATAGATTCCAGAACTGGTTCTGTCTGACTGATTGTCATTTTGAGTCGGTACGAGAGATGGCACCTGACGTAGAAGACTTGACTATCATTACAGGACGTGTAGAGGAAGGCAGAAGATGTAACAGTTGGAATGTGAGACATAAGCCCTTCCAAATTGGACAGGAGTGAATGTGAGCATGAGGGAGAGATGAAATGTTTTATTTAAATAAACATGCTTGATGTTAGTATAATATACATGCTTAGTGTACATCTAGAGCAGATACTACAAATATGCGCTTGTTTCTTCATTCTCCAGTTCCCACATTGGGCAGGGACTAGTAGGCATCCATTATTTGCCGACCGTCGAGTGTAACGACCTGCAGAAAGCAGTGAGGACGACAAACTGGAAAAGATAGGCAGGGTCTCAAGCCGAGAACTGTCCAAAGGTGTTACTTTCCAATACCTTTATGAAATCATCATTCACATAACCTAAACTCTACTAGCCTAAACAAGTTCATTTTAATTTCGATTTATTAAATAAATCTTTTTGATGTTGTTACACAGAGTTAAGTAAATTGTGTACTTAGGTTCAAGTGTCTTTGTGCATATTAGTTTACTTCAGCTAACAAATATTTAAATCACTTGATGGGGGCTTTTTAGCAATGCCAGGAGAGGAGACCAGTCGCAGGGGTTAACTGAGCACCTGGATTATATCACAGTGGGTTTATCCAGATATCTATCTATCCCTTCTCCTACTCCTGTGGATACAAGTACAGCAACTTCCATTTCATGGAACGAGCCACTCGCTGTTTTCTTGGCTATCCAGGACTGTCTAGGATCAACATAGCTTAGATAATAGTCCAGTTTCTCACGTGGGTGGGCATTGTTAAGGTTCAAACCCACACCCTCACTATATCAGTGTATTTACCCACGTGGGCGCGCGACACAAGGGATGAGGACCATTCTCTCTTGTCTCCGTCATCTTCGTTAGCTTGTTGTTCATCTATCACAAGGGATGAGGACCATTCTCTCTTGTCTCCGTCATCTTCGTTAGCTTGTTGTTCGTCTATCACAAGGGATGAGGACCATTCTTTCTTGTCTCCGTCATCTTCGTTAGCTTGTTGTTCATCTATCACAAGGGATGAGGACCATTCTTTCTTGTCTCCGTCATGAATTGAATGTTTGTGAGTCTGGACGTGATTGTAAAGTCCAATGCGTTCCCGGAAGAGTCAAGAACAATTAGGGCATGGCACGGTGTCTGTAGACAAAGGGCCTGGTGGGTCTTTCTGGACTGTCTTTGCTGTTCAGCTGCCCTAGTTCTAGGTACCTCGCAGATCGTTGCACCAGTTCAGATATATGTGCGTCATGAAAGTCCGGTCTTGTGCTGCAGCCTCCAAGATGTCAAGGTTTATACTGAAAGCTTTCAGTGATGCCTTTATTGTGTCATTGGAGCTTGTTTTTTCCGGCCACCATGAGAACGTCTTCACCACAGAAGATTATTTTTGAGAGCGTATGGTCAGGCATTCAAACAATATGGCCAGCCCATGGAATCTGTGACTGCTTCAGGATGGTATGAATGCTGGGAATGCCAGCCCTATTCTGCACGACTTTGTCCGGGACCATGTCTTGCCACTTAGTGTTTAGTATCTTTCTCAGATTTTTTTTTTTTTTTTTTTTAACGTATCCAGGAACCATGAGTTGTAAACCCTTTGGCTCGGTACTATGGATATCGCAACCCTTCGGCCTTGATTCCATTATAGGTACCGTTAATCTGGGAAAAATGTGGCTTTTCTGCCTACCCCAGGGAGTGAACCCGGACCACAAGGAGTTCGTCACCCGGCCGCCGCGAAAGTCAGGTTTAATCAACTTCGCTAGAGAGCCGGGCATCTTTCTCAGATAAACTGTATTGGCTACCGGAACAGGAGACGGAGCACGTTTGGTAATGTCCCTAGTGCAGTGATGTCAATTCTTGATTCATTCATTCATTCGTTCATTCACCCCTTCACAGAATGGACAGTCGCAACTACTTGCACCGGAGGAGTTAAGTCTTTGGGCTGATCGTGAAGCTGTCTTATCGGGGATTCCACCGTTGCCTATCTTGTGTCGCTCCCATTAATCCCCGGTATTGACGGATCTGTACGTGCCTGTTTTATAAACTCTGCTCTTGTTCTACTTATTTCTCTTTTCAACAGTATCAAGTGTGACCACCTAGAAAAGCTAAATATCTTTTTTTCTGACCGAAGGTAACAACTGAAGAACAAATTCATCATCATCCAGTATCTTGCCAAGTGGCTTCTCCACAATCTGCGATCTTCGACAGCATGTATCAGTGTGTGTGTTGACATCCCTCCATGCCATGACAAAAGGCTGATATGAATCATCTCGCCTTCCCCCCCCCCCCCCGGCCCCACACACATATTTCCAGTGGTCACAATATGTTCCAGTTTCCTTCTTCTCATAATATGACCCCCCATACAAATGTGACGACTGTCTCTTTCTGATGTCTGTAAGAATGTGTCTTCAATCAAGCCCTCTCCTCTTTCAAAACATGCAGGTTGTTATTCTTTTGTTGTCCAGGATATTCTAGGGATTCTTTTGTAAAACCACATCTCCGAAGCTTCAATATAATTTTTGACTTGTTTATTAATTGTCCAGGATTCCGTATTTTAAAACTGGCCCTACATACTTAGCGAGAATTCTTGTCCGAGCCTCCTGTTACATACATGTTTGTCCCCGTGTGGGTTCCGGGGCCCTATTGTAGGGAAAACAAGAAAAGACCCACTGCCTACCCAAAAGCATGTGGTAAGCGTGGACTAATTGGGTGCTTCCTATGAGGAAGTGCATCTGGCTGATAGGCAAGGAACCAACAGTCTGCATACAGATCTGTCAAACGGATGCACACGCATCACTCAGGTTCTGGAACAGGACTGCAGTCCAGAAGTAGACGAACAACCAGACATTTCCAACAGAGTTTACAGCTGGTGAACGCGAAGAAGAAAAAGAAGAAGATATATGTATTGCATAAAATGTTCTTTATGTTATCAGATATAGCGTTGGGCGGTTCATTTAAGTTCTTTATCTATTTGATACATCTTCCGTCGGATTTTATCCAGGTGCCTTGACACCTAATTCTTTCAGACCCAGTCAACGCCTTGTGTGTAAATGACTTTAAATCTTGAATTGACTCTGTAGCATAATGTACACTTTTATTTTTATTTTTGGTCATAGCATACTTGAGAAATCTGACTTTCCCAAATGGTTACTACCACTACCACTGTGTATATTTGCACGTTGAATGTAACTAATTCTCGATTTTTCATCGTGATTTTTTTTCCCTTACTTTACATGTCTCAACATTAAACCTGGTGATACCCAAACACTTAAAGGACAAATTACTCAATGCTTTTAGATTAAAACAGAACATTCAAAACTTTGTTTTTCCTTAATAATGAATTTACATAATATGGACAGAAGCCAAATATATTGCCAAATGTATTGCCTGGCATATCTCACTGGATTTCGCCTATACATTACTACCTAATTTACATCAGACACAAAAATTAATTCTTTTTGCCGAAATACTTAAGTAACAGAGCCTCTTGTCACACTGTATATCTCCTCCGACGAAATCTACCTTGATTCACGTGATCACCACGGAAGTCTGAGATTACCCAGGTGATCACTACAGAGGTCTAAGACTGAGCACGTGATCACCACAAAACAATTAACCACGTGGTCTTTTTGTTTACATAACACAGGATTGCCATTAAAAGAAAACAGTAAGTAACACATTATAACTTTGCTTCAGAATAAAATGCTGAACATTCTCGTTTGTTTTTTGGATTTTTTCCCCACACAGACCAGCCAGACTGTCCTACTTCCGAGAGCGAACTCCATCCGGGGGCGGATACGGCAGACGAAGGTACAATTCCTACAGTGGTTACAGTAGCCATAGTTACGGTGGAAAAAATGACTGGTGGAGGAAAAAAGCGGTAAACAGGTTAGAAATCAAATCGTGACAGCTGGTGGCCTGTAAAGTTTCGCCTGTCGCCTTTTTATATTCTACAATTTTATGATGTTTAAAAATCGTCAACCCCATGCCTTTCCTGTATATGCTACACGCTACGGATATTTTCTGTACCCACGTTTTAATTCGGTTCTCTTAGTAAATCGAGATAAGCCGCCTAAAGTGTAAACGATTGTGGTCAAAAATGTTATTTAAATGTGAGCTTTGAAGAATATTTGGAAAAAAAAAAAATAGTCACACTAAACTTTAGATTACTTTGTAACCGCTTTGTGGTTCCCCATTATAGCTGCTGTATTACTGTACGTTGAGTGGGGGTTCCAGGATTTGTCGCTGTTTGATTATCATCTTTGAGATGTTAACCTTTAGAATGCAAATATGAAGGTGAATGACTTAACTTCTTTTTTTTTTTTTTTTTTCAAAACAAAAAAAATTTTTAAAGGAGATTTAACTGCTATACTCAAACAAGATTTAAACGCGTGTGTCCTAATTGTAAATTGTGGGCTCTGTGTCCTCATAATGGATTCAAATTTATGTGTCAGACTGTACATATTTAAATTTGTATTACTGGTTATGTATTTAAATGTGTGTGTTCTAAGTGCACAGATAAACGCTAGTCTCCGAAATGTGTGTGTTCTAAGTGCACAGATAAACGCTAGTCTCCGAAATGTGACTTATAACTGTTGTGTCCTAATTATATATTGTATGCTTAATTTATAGATAAGAAATTTTGGGATTTTAAGTGGTAGAAATAAACCGAAAGGGAAAACAGAGGCTGCAGAACTGAGACAGACAGAGATGTACTGAGAAGCTGTCGTAGAGAGGAGAAGAACAATAAGATGCATTAGACAGCATAAATCTAATTTGTCTAATTCTGGTTAATTCTAATGAAGCTATGATAGCTGTATCTTCAGGCAAATGTCTTCCGAGTTCTGCATTACAGCAGAGGCGCCAGCACAGTTGGGAAGGGGGAGAGCGAGCCTCAATCACCCTATAATTTTCGGGATGTGGACTGAAGGGCTAAACCTTGTATAAGAGGTTAATAATAATAATAATATACTGAATAGCAAACACATTTAATATTTGAAATAATCTGATAATTATCAACAACAAAAAATCAACAACAAGAAACTTATGTACACGGCTGCTGGAAGGGGGAGCAGATTATCTACCTAGAAATGTATAAGAATGAGGGCGCCCCCTCCCCCATCCTTTCCCCAGTATTTCTGGGAAGCGGGTGTAAAGATACCTTAGCCCACAGACAGCGCCTAGCAAAGGTGAGAGGTTATCAAGTGTGGAGCCTTTTATGTCCCCCCCCCCCCCATATATTTTTTATTACAGACATACATATTTTTTCAAATTTTGTCACAGGGGCTGAGTGGTCTCGAGGAATGGCATCAGCCTCAAGTGCTAGAAGTCCTGGGTTCAAACCCCGATGAAGTTTGCGAGTTTTTCACGTAGACTTTTAGTAATTTCCCGCTGGTCTCTGGATAGTAAGATTGGACGCCCGTGTGTATTGTTGCCACGTAAAAAAATCCCTTGGCAGTTGGAAATCGAAATAAAGTAGCCTAACGGCGCTGCCCGGGCAAAATTTGAAAATCTACCCAAAGTATTTCAGGATCCTCGCCGGCGCAATGGAGTTTGTGCACTGCGCTGAGATTCTTCAGACTGAGGCTTGAGTTAGAACTAGAACGGAGCACTTATGGGTTACACCTATGTGCCATGATGTTGATCCGTTGAATAAACATAAACCAATTTTGTAACACCCTCAGTGATGATACACCCGTTCGCCCCCCTCCCTCCTTTTTACGCCACTGCACCTCCTCACCCCCCCCCCCCCCCCCCCCGCCGTCCCTTGTTCCTGCGCCCCTGTTCCAGCCCCCCCCCCCCTACCCCACCACGAAACCAAAAGGTCTCAACATCAAATTTCGAAAGAGAAACTAATTTAAGAGTATCTAAACGTATATACCAGAATTTCGCACATTGTGAAGCTATACTTCTGGGAGTTTTTCTAACTCGAAATTTAGCTGGGAAAGCTAAATCATTACCATGCGTAGGCGATTACGATTCGCCATCATCCTGAACAATCTCTATAAGAACATATCAGAACAGTGTACTTGTACCGCCCCAGCCATGTGGCTGTCTAGACCTTTGTGTTTATCTTCGGTTATTGTTTATTCTATGTAAATACACACTTTCACCCATACAAAGCAAGAAAATAAGTACATTTCTTTGTAAAAATTTGTTTGCTATTCAGTATATTAATACTAAATAATATATATATATATATATATGTGTGTGTGTGTGTGTGTGTGTGTGTGTGTGTGTGTGTGTGTGTGTGTGTGTGTGTGTTGAAGAAAATTTCATTGAGACAGTGAAAAACACTCACTCACTAAATAGGAAGTAGCTAAACAAAATGTTTACTAAAGACTAAATAAATGGTAATACTGTATGTACATTTTTTTTTTTTTTTTAAATCTTGCCTTCATTTCGATTTGTCTTTGCCAAGTCCCTTTTCCACGTTTATTTTTTTAAAGACAAAAATTCTAGTTAAAGCTGTAAAAAAAAACCCAGAGTTTGAAGTTAGAGGCGGGTCTTGCAACCTCTGACCTATTTATCTCTTAACAGGCAACACAGATTCCCTGTACGTGGGTATAAAGATTACCGCTTCTTTCTTCTAATGTTGTCATTGTATTTAATTGTTTTATTTTACTTTAAGCATTGTAATAATTGTATTTGTCGTTGTCATATATTCACATTAAAAAAAATAATTATATCTGATAATTACCAAATTTTATATAATCATCTTTTGATACAATCATAAAACAGGAATATCAAATGTCTTGATTCATCGTGCGTGAGAATACGTTTGTATTTAATTACATTAGTAAGAAAACACCAATAATAACAGATCGTGGCGAAGTGGTCAAGCCGTTTGCCTCGTGCACTGAAGGTCGTGGGTTCGTTTCACGGCAAAGCTCTTCTTCCATGTCATGATGTCAAACTGTCCAGCATCTGTTCTCTCAGTCTCCCTCTGCGTCTCCTTCCCTCCAACTTTCCTACCATCACGATGTACTCCAGTTGTCTCCTTCTCATCACATGACGAAAGAATGTTGATTGTCATCTTTCTGATGTGGGCAATCAGTTCTCTTCGTCAGTCAGTTTATTTCAAGACTTCTTCATTACTTTTTCTATCTGTCCAGGGTATTCTCATCATTCTTCTATAAAACTACATTTCCGCAGCTTTTAAATAAATACATACACTCATAATACCTCCACACGCATTACATTCATAATTATGTATAATACACATAGAAACACACTCATACATACATATACATTCAAGAAAAGACCGAAGCACCAAGCCTTCATCAGCAAGACAACCAAAACAACGATGCTCTCAGTACTAAATCAAATTTCATACTGCATCCTTATTCATTTCACATGCTGCATGTGGTTAATTTTGTATCTTTTCAGTCTTTAATTTGTGTTGTCATTTTTCCTTTTGTTGTTGTTTGCTGATGAAGGCTTTTAATTGTAATTATAATTCTGTAAAGCTGACCATAACTTTAGGTTTTGCAGTTGTTTACATATCTGGTCAGTAAGAGCGGATTCTTTCTGGCGAAGTGGTTCAGCCGTGTGCCACACGCTCCGAGTGCCGTGGATTTGTTTCACGGCTGCGATGTCGTTCGGTTCACGAATGCAGTTTTTACAGAGATCCTTGATAATCGTCGCAGGAGCAACAGAGTTTGTGCTGTGTGCGACGCTCTCGGCAGGCGGCTAGTGACTCTGCAGAAGAAATAAAACCCTGTGAACTGAAGTCAAAACCCCTCGACTATAACAACCAAACACACATTGGACAGCAAGTTAGTTCATAACTGTTGGGTGACCCAATATACTAGTTTTCGTATTGTTGAACGCAATCATTATGCTGTGATCGCGACAAGTCAGAGAAAAAATAAATTGATAAATACAGTGGTGGTAGAAGGTGACAAAATGGGCCTCAGTTTGAATAATAGGAAGGCAGAAGTTATGTCAATATATAAAAAAAAAAAAGAATAATGCCCAAAGGTATAATAAAAGTCAAAAGCGTTATTTTAGAACAAGTATATAAATTTAAGTATCTAATCACACGGATAACATCAGTTGCAACACAAAGATAAAGAACAGAATTCGACAAATTAAAACTGCATTTTATAAAATAAAGAACATTGTTGCAAAACATCCATGTCATTGGAGGTTAGCAAAGAATTCGGGCATGCTGTATAGAGCCAGTTGTAACATTTGGCGGTGAATTATGGACAATAAACAAACAACCAAACAATTAAACTTAGATGTCAAGATAGAAGCACGTACATGTCATCTTCGATGTCAAGATAGAAGCACGTACATGTCATCTTCGATGTCAAGATAGAAGCACGTACATGTCATCTTCGATGTCAAGATAGAAGCACGTACATGTCATCTTCGATGTCAAGATAGAAGAACGTACATGTCATCTTCGATGTCAAGATAGAAGCACGTACATGTCATCTTCGATGTCAAGATAAAAGCACGTACATGTCATCTTCGATGTCAAGATAGAAGCACGTACATGTCATCTTCGATGTCAAGATAGAAGCACGTACATGTCATCTTCGATGTCAAGATAGAAGCACGTACATGTCATCTTCGATGTCAAGATAGAAGCACGTACATGTCATCTTCGATGTCAAGATAGAAGCACGTACATGTCATCTTCGATGTCAAGATAGAAGCACGTACATGTAATCTTCGTGGCGCAGATAGAGGTATGTAGATGTCATCTTCGATGACAAGATAGAAACATGTAGATGTCACCTTCGATGTGAAGATAGAAGCAAGTAAATGTCATCTTCGAGGACAAGATAGCAACATGTAGATAGAAGCACATCTCTAGAAGCTATCTTCGAGTTTTAGATAGAAGACATTGTAACCAATGTCTCAGAGGAACAAACAGCACGTGGGGTTGCTGTTGCATCGGAAGACAGAGCATGCATGTGAGTCCCCAATGTTCAGTGACGTCCACTGTGAAAACGTAACATAACGACATACTATGGATCTATTATAAAGTCGCTAGTCTTCATCTTTGGATGGAAATGGTAGCGTACAGTAACCGGCGATGCCTACTTTCCTCTGTAGTGTAATTTCAAGAATGACAATGGTTATATCAAGTGCGCGGCGTCCGTGGCTTGGGCGTTGCGAGTCCAACTCGTAATTCCAACGTACCGCGATCGAGCCCCACTGCAGGCTGCATGGATTTTTATCATGGTATGGGGACTTACAGGTCGACTCAGCCTAAAATGGGTATTAGGATGGCTGTCTTGAGGAAGTAAAGACGGCCGGCGTAATGCTGACCACATTACCCAGATAGTGCCGATGGTCTGTAAAAATATGGGATGCTTTTCCTATATGCCCAATGCGCCTAAGGCGTGAAAAGGGATCTTTACTTTTGTTTTTACTATATCAAGTGCACATCCATCCATCTCTCTCTCTCTCTCTCTCTCTCTCTCTCTCTCTCTCTCTCTCTCTCTCTCTCTCTCTCTCTCTCTTTCTCTAATTCTGACGTTATTCGTTAACTTATTTAATCTTTCTCGCAGCCATCACCCCCCCCCCCCCCCCCCCCCACAAACACACAATGTTCATTTATCGAAGCCTCACACCAAGAACGTTTTCTATAATTCCAGACACAACATGCCTTGGGAAAACCTGCCCAACACTAACTGCCTTCGCCAGTACTGCAGAAGCGACAACGATTGTTGCAGACGACACTCCAAATGTAACGAAGAAGCTCACGTCTGCTACGACTGCTGGTACGGTCATCCTTGCAAAGAGAACATGGACTGCTGCGAGAGATACCCAATCTGCAACAAAGTTCTTCACAGTTGTGGAAAATAAGTAAAATCGTCCAAGCTCAAACTCTGATTTTTTTTTTCCTGTTAGCATTTTTCAAAAATTGGTTTCTTTAAAATTTAATGTCCCGGCAGAGTGAAGAAACAAATACACACAAAGCTTACCAAAAAAAAAAAACACGTTTTAGACAGTATTCGATACAAGTAATTGAAAGGAATTCGCAAGATAGAAAGGAATGGAAGAATTCACTACGAGCTCTTCTTCTCTCTGGTCCATGTTGTGGTGTTGGTTGTAATGTCTAGCCACATCCTTCTGTCTCATGTACTTTCAATTAGTTCTGACACAGATGATCTTCCATGCAATGATGTCAAACCGTCCAGCATATTCTCTGTTGGTCTCCCTCTGCCTCTTTTCCCCTCTCAATGTTATAATGTACTAGTTATATCCTTCTCATGACATGATCACAAAATTTAATTTGACTCCTTCTGATGTGAGCTATCAGCTCATTAAGGAGAGGCCGACCAACATGGTAGTGGACTCAGGAAACTAAAGACAACCTGGGGATGAAAGTAAATGAATAAGAGGCCGACCAACATGAATGCAGACTCAGGAAACTAAAGACAACCTGGGGATGAAAGTAAATTAAGGAGGGGCCGACCAACACGGAGGTGGACTCTGAAAAATGAAGTCAACCTGGGGATAAAAGTAAATTTAAGGAGGGGCCGACCAACACGGAGGTGGACTCTGGAAACTAAAGTCAACCTGAGGATAAAAGTAAATGGAGGAGAGGCCAACCAACTTGAATGTGGACTCAGGAACTAAAGACAACTTTTGAATAAAAGTAAATTAAGGAGAGGCCGAACAACATGGAGGTGGACTCAGGAAACTAAAGACAACATGACCATGAAAGTAATTGAAGTAGAGTTGGAACAACACAAAGGTGGACTCAGGACATTAGAGACATCATGGACATGAAAGCACAGGAGGCAGAAACAGTGAGGGATTAATAGTGTTCCAAGCAGGTTTATGATGTTTTCAGTGTTCTGCCAAGGTTTCGCAACATGATGATGATGATAAAAATGATAACAATTAAGAGGATAGTAAATGTTATTGTCTGTATTTGTGAAGTTCAATTGTTGATAACATCACAGCATCGATAGCAACTGACACTCATAATGCAGAATTTAACTGTTAACATGTAACTGACACTTGGTAACTAGTAGTGTGGAATTTAACCTTGAACACTATAGCGCAAACAGCAGTAACCACTTGCAATATAGAACTTTAAAATTACATCAGAGGTAGCAATTAGTACTCTTATGTAGAATTTAATATGCAGAATGTAATTCAGAAAATAGTGCACTCACAATGCAGACTTTTTTTTCACCGGAATAGGCCGGTGTGTTGGGAAATGAACACGCGGACAGACTGGCTGGCTCTGCACAACTTGGTGGAATACTGATGCATGATAAGGCAGACGTGGTTAGTGCCTTGTGGGAGAGCGTGTACAGTTCGGAGGAGCAGATGGATCACCACAGTCTGGTGAGATTGATGCAGCGGGGAGTGACGAAAGGTTCTGGCAGATGCTCGAGACTCAGAGAAAAGGCAAGACAGACGTTTAATCAGAATACTACTGGTACCATTAGTATCGGAACTCTTCACTGGCTGCTGAGGATGGGTACGGAGCGCATATGGGAATGCCCCGAGTGCTGTGATGTCGGTTCTTGAATCAACTCAACTCAACTCAATGCAGACTGTCAACTGACATAGAAGTGACTGATTGTTACATGCTGTCTGATTGCATAAAATATTCTATATCCTGTCAAATGCAGTTTTTTACTTTAGCTATTTTATGTGAAAATCAGCTTTAGAAAACTGATAAAGTACTCAGTCAGTCAGTAGCATGTACTTTGCTGAACCTCGCTCCCATTACAACCTTCCTGAAAACTTCTCGACCACAAGCGAGATGTCCTGCATCCGATACACCCATCTGGAGATCATCCGACACATGCTTCACCCATCTTCTCTTTGGCCTTCCTCTTCCTCTCTTCCCGGGCATATACGCCTTCGTTATTGTTCTCTCTAAACTTTTGTGACATTTCAAGTGATCAGAATATCTTGGTTTTCTGTGTTTCATCGTCTTTAATAGCCAACCTTCTTCAATATTAGTTCTTGAAGTATAGATGCATTTGTTCTTTTCTTTACCGATGATATTCTTAGAACCCGTCTGTCTATAACATTTGTATTCAAAGGCATTTATGCGCTGTTCAGCTTGTTTAGTAAGATCAAGTACTAGAGCCAGAAAAATGTTTTCTAACGCTAATGTAGAGATTATAATGTCCAGACAGACCTGCAAACACTTGCTGTCACCAACTGGAAAGAGAAGGCCAACCAGAGAGATGAATGGAGGCAGGTGATATCTGCAGCAATGAACCTCAAGGGCTCGGAATGCTGAAGAAGAAGAGGAATGTGGAGATTAAAGTTGGGAGCAAAAGCGATGTTATTGGTAGTACTTGCTTGTCTTAACTCTGTATTTACCATTTAGAAAAGGGAGTAGGGGAGGGGGGAGGCAGTTTTGGGCAAGGAAATCTTGAAGCTGATGATTTACAGTCGCATGGCTAGTGCAGTCATCATGGACTGTACTGGTTAGAAATATTTCCTCCTCCATACAGAAAAAAAATCTAGGATTCTAAACCTCCGTTTCTGAATGAGAGCCTAGAGTTCTTAACTGCTCAGTTAAATTTTGTTTCCTACATGAAATGTCTACATACATGATCAGTGTATATCTGTGAAAACATGCAGAATTAAAATGGCTAGTCACAAATTATGATAGTTTTTGTTGTTCCATTCTCTTATTCTTTTTCTTCAGCTTCAGTGTTTGCTTTGCATCCATTCCCATATGGGTCATAAACAGGATGGTGCACTTGAAATCTTTATCCGCGTCCCATATCTTGTAGGAATGCTCCTGTGGGCCAGGTTTCTTCTCTCTGACTGGCAAATTCTGGGCAGTCCTGAAGACAAGTACTATAGTTTGCATTTGTGAGCCACAACAACATGCAACAGAGTTAACAATACCCATTCACTGCAGGTGTGCTTTGAGTGTGCAGTCCCGATCTCAATTTTCTAATAAACTGAGCTCTTTAACATCATGGGGTAGCAGGTCCTTTGCAAAAATCATGAATTCTGGAAAATCATTTTATCCCCTGCCAACTTTTCAGCCCTTCGACCTTGTGTACCTATGGTGCCCGTGATTTCCTTTTCCTAATGTGATGCTGATTGTCTTCTGCCTCTTCTCCCAGGAAGCATAACACCCACGACTGTTCTCTCAGAAAACCAGTGGTGCCTTATGCAGTTAATTGCGAATGCAACTACTGATCTGTTGTAACTACTGCTTCCATCAACAAGTGCCAGAATGTTGGTGTTGGCACTTCTGATGGCTGCCTGGTGCATCTGAGGCATGTGTTTGCTATTGGCTTTGCTGGGACTGCTGTCTGCATCCATTTTCTTTCCACAAGGGACAGTGATAGATATTCTGTGTGGGTTTTTGTTGGCATAGCAATGGAGCAGCTATTGAAGATTTCTTTGCTCTGAAGATGTAACTATGATTACCTGATTACTTTTCTGTTGTGGACTTGGACTTCTAGTAATCCCCCCTGGTCTCTGGGTAGTGAGATCGGATGCTCGTGTGCATTGTTGCGCACGTAAAAAGAATCCCTTGGCATTTTGAAATCAAAAAGAGTAGCCTAACAGCCCTGCCCAAGCAAAATTTTGAGTTAAAAATCTACCTAAAGTATTTCAGGATTCTCACCTGGTGCTACAGAGCCTGTGCTCTGTGCTGAGCTTCTTCGGACTCAGACTTGAGTTAAAAGAAGAACGGAGCACTTATGGGTTTCATCCGTGTGACATGATGTTGGTCCGTTGTTCAAACTTCAAACTTTTCTTTTAAGATGATTATGAAATGTAATCTGGCTGAAGTATTTAGTTTATGAGAAATCTACATCACCATCTCTGCAATATGTAACACACATTCTTCTTCTTCACTTCCTCTTTTACAACTTCAGGTGTCGAGTGAGATAAAAGGCTCTGCTTCTTGCTGTCTTAACCAAAGACATGTCATGCTGTGGTAGAGTTTAGAGTTTCTCTGATGTTATCTTTCCATCTTATTCTCAGTCTACCTCATGTTTCATGTCCTCCTCTTTTAGTGCCTGCCTTGTATGGTGATACCGGGTGCAGTCCTGGGAAGTAAAGACGGCTGGCATGCTGCTGACCACATCACCCATCTTGTGCTGATTGGTCTATTAAAAATATAGGTCTAGCCCTATATGCCTAAAGGTGTGGGAAAGGAACCTTTACTACCTACTTACTTGTATGGTAATAGCATCATAAGGCACTCTTTCTCAGTGATTACACCATTCTTCTTCTTCACATTGACCGGCTGTAAACTCCAGGGGAAAGTTCTGATGATTCATCCACTTCTGGACTCTAGTCTCTTGTTCCAGAACCTGAGTTTTGCATACACATCCATTTTACAGATGTGGCTTATTTGTGTGCAGACTGTTGGTTCTTTGCTTCTCAGGCAGATACACTCCGACTTTGAAGAAAGCCTCCATTTAGTCAACCCTTACGACAGGTTTGTCGGGGAGGAAGTGGGTCTGTTCGTGTTTTCCCCCACAATGAGGCCCCTGACCCACATGGGGACATCAAAACCATTTAATTTGCTGGCTTTGTATGCAATTTAGAATTGTTTCTTATACATAACACATGTATAACGCTTGAATAACACAAAAGGCAACTCACCCTATAGGACCTCAGATTACATAATAACTGTAGAGGGCCCCAGTTTAGCTGTGCTGTATGGCTGAACATGGTCATGTGAAGGAGAAAGGACAAAACTGGAGTACACTGTGACGGTAGGAAAGTTAGAAGGGAGGAAAGGCAGAGGGAGACAGAGAGAAAAGATACTAAACAGTTTGAATTCATGGCATGGAGGATGATACGTGCCAGAATGGACTGAAAGTACACAAGACAGAAGGTTGTGGATAAACATGACTACCAACGCCACACAGCATGAATTTTAAGAAGATGGTGGAACAGGGTTTCTGGGATCTGCAGCTGTTGGATTTCACTCAGAATGCAACAACTATGATATGAAGATCGACATAGATAAAACAAAAAAAAAACAAAAGTGATAACATTCTCCAGAAAAAGAAGAACCACCAGTATCAAAACTTATGAACACCAGTTGAAGCAGGCGAAGGATTTTACATATCTGGGGAGCATTTTTTGGGGTTAGAAAACGAAAGAATTAATAAAGAAATCCAACAAAGATGCAATAAAGCCAGTCAAGTTTTAGGCCAGATGGCACCAATTTTGAAAGGCAAGCATGTGAATATGAACACTAAAAGAACATAATATTCTTATCAATGCTCTGCTATCAATGTTAAACATGGACACTTGTCTTCAGTAGGTTAGTTGCGTATCCTTTACAGGACCTTACAGAACCAACCCCCATCAGCCCCTGGCTGTTGTGTGGTTTCACTGGGCAAATTTATGTCCAGTAGTTTGCCATTGCTTACTGGACGGTCGGCTCCCTGATACCACTGTCAAAACCAATGCAAGGCGCATAGCCCGCATCTGGGATCGAACCCGGTACCCCAGCATTATGAAGCGTTCTTATCGACTTAGCCACAGAGCCAACATCTTCAGTAGACAGAAGGAAAATAGTCACCACAGAAATGAAATGTTTATGTACTATGCTAGGTGTAATGAGGAAAGATCGACCTAGGAACGATGATAATAGGAGGAGAGTCGGCACAGAATGTTGAATTAAGAATCGACATTATAGCACTCGGGACACCCCCATAGAATCAATACTGAACTTTATAGGTGGACAACAAATCAAATGGTTTGACCATGTAACAAGAATGGCATCAGACAAGGCACCACAGAGAGCAATGTTATACAGATACAACGGTAAGAGAGCTAGAGGTCGACCATGCAGATAATGGACCGCAGCAATATCAGAGACTGAAAAGTACTTTATTCAAAGCGAACAGAAAAGCCTGTTGCTGAGATCTCTTTCTGTCCTGATGCCATTAGGCACTCCAGGAGCAGAGAAAAGAAGAAGAAGACGAAAGATTCTCATCCTTGAGACAGAGTCCCAGAATGAAAGAGAGAGAGAGAGAGAGAGAGAGAGAGAGAGAGAGAGAGAGAGAGAGAGAGAGAGAGAGAGAGAGAGAGAAGTACAACAATAAGCTCATGGATATACTACTTTCACAAGGGCTAAATGCACAATCCTTGTAAGAGACTAATATGTTGGCTGGGTTTTGTGAGACTCCTTGACTAAACCTGAGATATAAAAACATATATAACATATTGAATGGTACACATAAATAATATTCCTCTTCTTCTTCATGTTCACCAGCTGTAAACTTGGCGGAAAGTTTTGGTTGTTCATCCATTTCTGGACTCAAGTCCTGTTCCAGAACCTGAGTGTTGCATGCGTATCCATTTTACAGACCTAACTTATTTGTATGCAGACTGTTGGTTCTTTGCCTTCCAGGCAGATGCACTCTGACTTAGCTCCCAATTAGTCAACTCCTAAACATTGTTTTGGGGAAGGCAGTGAGTCATATATGGGGAAAATGATATTCAATCACAAAGAGTTTGTCAAGCTGAAAATTGTAATCCTACAGTCTGCAATCATATAAAGGGGTGGGGAAGGGGATTTTTTAATGCTCACAATAGCAAAATAAACAAAGAAACCTCATCTTGAGCCCACAACAATTTTTATTGTCTTTCGAAAACTTTGCGGGGTAATTTTATCAAGCATCACATTTCTTATATGGGTTACAAACCAAAACAGATGAACAGAATTGTACAACCACAAGAGCTAGCTAAAAGCTGCAGCATTAATAATGAAGTGCATTCACATGAACAAACACATAAATTTACAACTTAAACAACAACACCACCAACAAAAACAGCACCCTCTTCTTATCCTTTCCCTTTCCTCTCTATCCTCACTGTTCTCTTTCTCTCATTCCTCCTGTCCCTCTGTCTCTTCTTCCTGTTTTCTGGTCGCCGCGCAATCTGGTTTAACCAACTGAGCTAGCTAGACCTGTTGTGGCATCTAGATAAGCAGAATTCCTGACAAGTGGAACCATTTCTTTAGGTCTTGTGACCTCTACTTATTTTAACCCCACTGTTTTATCAGTATATTAGGAAGACAAGGAACAGGAATATCAGGTGTGACCTCACACCACAAATAATAAGACCCAAATAAGACAGCCAAGGAACCTTCCTTCATATAGCAGGCCTCCGTGTAGCTGAAAAAGGATCAAATTTGGAATTTTTATTGGACAAATGGAATTGGAATTGGAACTGTCAGTATAAGTAATTACAAAATTTGTTCAAATTATTCAGAAATGTGTGAAAACTACCAGAGAAAGCTTTGTCACTTAGACCCAACAGAAGCAGTCCAGAGGTTGACCAAGCAAGAAATGGACAGAAGGAATATCTGAGACCGTGAATATCAGCATCTACACAGCACTTACCAAGGCTCACATCAGATACTTCTTCAAACTCTGATGTTGAAAAAAAGAATAAAAATAAGGAAAAACTGGTTTCACTGATTGTATTTCTGTGAAAATTTCATACAAACTAAATTCTCTCAGTCACTGCTTCAAGCAAAACCCAAACTGAAAACATAAACAGATAGTATCTACACATAGAAATATCAAACCTTAAACCATTTTAACAACAAAGAAAGCTTTGAAACATAGAAAGCTTTGAAAGCATGACATTTTGAGGCATTTTGCACCGATCTGGCTTTAGATGATCCTTTTAACTAAAACAATCATCAAGAAAAAAAAAAGGTAGAATTTTTTATGAAGATCCATTAACACAGTTTTCCCAACTCCTTCAGCTTCTAATGAAGTTACATAAACAAAGTTCCAACTCCTTCAGGTTCTGAAGTTCCACGAACAAAGTTCATACTTCCTCAGCATATGATGAAGTTCTATGAATAATGATCTTCTTATTCTCCCAGCTACTGATGAAGTACTGTGAACAAAGTTCATCTTACTGGCCTAGTTTCTGGCGAAGTCTTGCATACTCTCGCAGTCTGTAAATAAAATTACATGCATTAAATCAACAGTAATAGAATTTCATTGCAGTTTTATTCATAATTTAGGTCTGTGCTAAAGAGGGGCTGCGTGGTCTCAAGGCATGGTGTCCGCCTCAAGTGCTAGAGGTTCCGGGTTCAATCCCTGGCAAGGACCCCTGACCACAGCGAGGGTGGGGCTTTAAAACTTCAAAAAATTGCATCCCATCTTGGAATGGCCTCTATTTTAACTACATGGAAGTAAAGAGCCAAGCCAAAAGGACATTTCATTATTAGTGCATAAAACAGTACATAAAGAGAACAACTTATTGTGTACAATTGATGCAATGCACAATTTTGCATCAAAAGGAAAGTGGAAGATGGAGAAGGTCAGTCAGAGAACATGCAGATAACACGTGTGGTGAGACATAAATAAATATAGCCTCAAGCATATTTACATTAATCACTATTATATGAATAACAAAAATTTCTGAATGTAAAACTAGCACTGACCTCAGGGCATTGATCTTGATAAAACCTCCTGCATCCAAGGGCTCATAATCACCTTGTACATTCATGCTGCAAACAAACAAACAAACAAAATCAGTTACGGATCTTTAAAACAGTTGAAAAACTTTTACAGAATTTATAATTCCAGCTAAACACTTGGTTTCCCAGCAGACTCACTATAAACTCTTGCTTTTACAGCTTACTTGATATAAATCATTGGTTTCACAAAAAACACTATAAATAATCGGTTTTAAAGAAAACTCACTACAAATAGTTGGTTTCAAAGCAGACTTGAAGTAAATATTTGGTTTCATAGAAACTATTAATAACTAGTTTCACAGAAAAGTCAACAAATAATTAGTCTGACATCTGACTCAATATAGACAATCATCAGTGTGAGTAATGGACCATTTGGTAAAACATTAAACAAGAAAACAGAGGCTCTCACAAATTAGAACACCACAGAAAATGGAGGAAAAATCAGACTCACATTCTAGATGATTTCCAATGTGAAAAAAAGTCTTAGAAAGTAAAGGTGGTCGGATGATGGAGACCATGTCACCCAGCGAAGCTCGGCTGGTCTGTAAAACTATGAGGCTAGTATCATATGACCGATTCTGCAACTGAAGTTTTCTGTAGGATAATGTTGCCAGTCTTACACCAACCATCCTTAGTTGCCTCTTATGACACGCATGGTAGGTTACAGTGTTATCATCCTTCCTTTATTTCCTTTATGGACCATGGAGACTCAAGGAATGATCTCTGGATGTGCAGTTCAGATACAAATACAGCTTTAAACATTGACAATAATTATCTACTCTGAACCCCATCACCACGAGATGGCTAAATCTAGTCACTTTTGGTTGTGACACAGAGCCATAAAGGCTGATATATCACCTTTTCTGTAGTGACCTGTTCTTGAAAGGTGTAGTTAAATGCTATTGGTTCTACATGTGGGAGGCCAGGATGTGAATATATTAACTTAACATAGCACTCAGAGGGGATCCTTGGGAAGCCAGTAGCTTTTTTTTAAAGCCAAGCTGATTTAAATCATTTCCCGTAAGCCTCAGTGTTGGAAGTCACAGTATGAGTTGCCTGATTCCTGATGCCAAAAAGGAACACTACACAGGCAGCCAAAGAAGAATAGTAAACCAACAAAGAACTGGTGATGATTCAAGAGACGACATTGCATTGGCAACACACAAAAGACTACATCGACTTAAGGTCAAAAGAGGTGTTGCCAAAAAGGAACACTACACAGGTAGCCAAATAAGAATAGTAAACCAACAAAGAACTGGTGTTATCAGTCGCCACATGCTGAACATTATACAGATGATGGGATCCCAGCAATTATGGACTTGTCCGATGTACAGTGAGGATCATTTTTTGATTAACTAACTTTAAATATATTTACACATTTCAAAACCAAAAAAATTTTTAAGCGTAGATAAATACATTTTAAAACAATATGTTAGTCATCTGTGTAAAATTGTGTCTGTGTTTATTTTTGTTTTTTTTTGTTAAGGATTTCTTTAGGGGTCAATTTCCATGAGTTCATGACCTATTTCATTTTTAGGATTTTTAGTGAAAGAGTTGATAATCTGGATACAGAGGTGCTGTACCACACATGGTTGGTGTTTACTCAAGACAAAGGCTCACACAGGTCAAGCACTATCTACACCTCTCTGTAAGCATCCTAGAAACAGGTTTCCAACTGGGGGCCTGGCCGTTATAGACAGGACTTGGTGTAGCACTGTAAGCTGTGTTTTTCATGTTCAATGCCTTTCATTTATGCAGCGGTTGAGTCCTGGTATTCAATATAGCCCGTAACCGGTTTACATGTGAGCTGGTGATTAACTTTAAGTAATAATTATGTGTGTGTGTGTAGCTAACTTATCGTGCCCAACTACTTCCATCAATGACAAACTGCATTACTGGTGGCGACTGCTGGCTTTGGCATCTCTAGCAACTGCCATATGCTTTTACTGTGTGCGCATATATCTGGATTGTGCCGGGACTAATTGTTCCCCAGTTTTTCAAATAGGACATTGAGAGACAAGTGTTGGAAAACCCAATTACAGTGAAGTTGAAACTTCGACTAAGACAGGATGACATTTCCTATGAAGTCTGAGGCAAGTCTGCACATTTATAAGTCAGATCTGTATGGCGAATGTGCAAGCTAATGCTCTTAAGTCCTGGAATGAGACCAAGGTCCAGAAGGGGATGAAAAACCATTTATTTCTGCAGGCAGTGAAAACAAAACATTAGAAGAAGAAACTGATATTCAGTAAGCCTTAAGCTGTAAACCACAACACAAAGTGTCAATCACCCTTTCATAGATCAGCGCAGAAGATGACAAAGTAGTATCAAAGATGCCCATTTCTCACCTGACCAATTCCTCGTTATACAAAGATAACTCAGAGCGGCGACCAAGGATGTAGACGCCTCCCTTGTACAGCTTCAGTGTCACCACACCCTCCACATGCTCTTGGCTTTTGGCAATGCAGGATCTGGTGTACTCACACTCTGGGCTGAACCAAAAACCTGCAGGAAAACATGGCATTATTTTATACAATATGTACACAATATGTCAGAGATCAAATATACAAATTTGCAGCACATCAGGAGCGTCTCTTAGCAGGGGTGAAACGTCGCAAGCTAGCTTGGTTTGGGCATGTGGTGAGACATGATTCGATTACAAAGACTGTGCTTCATGGAACATTAGGGGGAAATTGTAGAAGAGGAGGGCAAAGAAGAATCTTGAATGACGACATCAAGAAATGGACAGGACTAAGTTATCATATACTTATTCATCAAGAAGAAGACAGAGTAAGATGGTGGGTTTTGTATGCTAGTTATTCCATCAATACACCTCCATGACCTTAATGGGTCAAGGGTTATGCTATGTTAAAATATTAATTGTGAACCTTGGAACCCTTAAAGGGGAATAAAGGAATATGAACTAAAATCAGGTACCAGTTAGTCAGTACATGTTCAGACAGAAGGAAAAGTGGGTGTCTCAGAAAAACAACTCTTAGAGATGGCCAGGCGATCAATCCTCCTTATCACACTGTCCAGCAGTTTTATATAACAGGATTCAATCTACTTTGCTTTGCTCAGCTTTTATGTGAGTCAGAGCACTGTGTCTTGCTGATGGGGGGGGGGGGGAGAGAGAGGGGAGAGGGTGGTGAAGGGGGAAGGAGATATGGGGGGGGGGGGGAAGCTGTATGCAGTAAGAAAGACCAGGATAAGTTGACAATGACAGGGGGATAGTCTACGCTCCCTTGGGGGAAAAAAAGGGGCATGGGGGAGGAGGGGGGGGAGAGTTGAAAGGCAGTTGAGTTGAGTCAAGAACTGACATCACAGCACTAGGGGCATTCCCATGTGTACTCCGTCCTCATCTTCAGCAGCCAGCACAGAGTTCTAGTACTGATGGTACCAGTCACAATCTGGTTATGTGTCTGTCTTGCCTTTCCTCTGAGTGTAGTGAGCCGGCCAGACATTCTGGTTACACCCAGGTGCCTCATTCTCTCCAGACCATTATAATCTTGTTTTTTCTAAAGCTTCACCTTTCTTAGCATGATTTCAGATGAAGGGGAAAAGAAGAAGAAGAAAAAAGAAAAAACACATAAGTAAAAGTAAGTAAAGGACCCTTTTAGTGCCTTTCAACCTGTGAGCCAAGGTCAATTTTGAAACAGAGCATAGGAGGTCAACCAACTCATGTCATTGTGTCCTTTGCTACTGCATGAAGCTCACTAAATGGCTTCCCTATCTTAAGGTTCAGGCGCCCGGCACTCTAGTGTAGTTGGCTAAACCGGATTACGCGGTGACCGGGTGACGAACTCCATGTGGTCCGGGTTCACTCCCGGGGGGTAGGCAGCAAAGCCACATTTCTCCCAGATTTATGGTATTTACAATGGAATCAAGACCGAAAGGTTGTGATATCCATAATACCGAGCCTAAGAGTTAACAACTCATGGCTTCTGGGTACTAAAACAAACAAACAGACAAACAAGGTTCAGGCAGCATCTTCTGGATGTGCAGAACAGTGCCCACAAACCAGTACTGCTGCACTTCAATTCTCTGGATTACCAAAGTGTCTGTAACATGGAGGTGATGGCCACTACAGCAACTGGGCCCGTAAGTTAGTTTTTTTTTTAAATCATTTTATTTTCAGCCTTGGTACAATTACATTAAGGGGACTTAACTGCCAATTCTGTTTCACACAATATCCTTGAGTCAAAGCCCTTAGCATTCTCTGGCTATTTAATGTTGGCAGCTATTTAAATCTTTCATTCTTATGCCACACAACTACTTGGCTGCTATCAGGAATATGTCAGTTAAGTAATTTTGTGTATTCGTGAAGGCTTTGTAGCTGCAACATTACTTTCCATTTGTGCTTGTTACATTGTGAAGATTTCTGGTCTACTTTTTGTTTGCTTTTATATCTTCCCACTTTAGAGTTAAAGTCGAGAGGATCATGTTCATTCAATCAATCAGGTGCTGTCTCCACAATGAAGGTTGGCTGCAATGGATCTCCAACAAGCCTTTGATGCACATTTATAAGTCAGATCTGTATACTTGCCTTTGATGTACACTCACTCATAATGCTGTTCGTCCATCTCTTGATGTTATCATCCCACTTGTAACGCTGTCTGCCTTTTGCACGTCTACCTTGAACCTTTCCCTCTAGGATGATCTTTACAATACTTTTATGTCTTTTAATGTGGCCAAAATATTTCACTTGTCTCTTTTTTATTTCACCTAGCAACTCTCTTTTCATTCCCAATTTCCTCAGTACCTCTGTATTTGATAGCTTTTGTTTCCATGAAATACGACATAATCTTCTGTATATCCACATCTCCAAAGAATTGATACGATTTTCCAGTTGTTTGTTCATTGTCCATGTCTCTGTGCCATATGGTAAGGTTGAGAATACATTACATTTGACAATTCTAATTTTTAATGTATTGCTTATTTCTCTTGATGTCAGTAACTTTTGCATGTTGTTGAAAATGTTTTTGGCCATCCCTATTCTTTTCTTGACTTCTGTTTCACTTCTGCCGTCACATGTTATTACTTGTCCAAGATATAAGAAAGTTTTAACTTGTTCCAATTTCACTCCGTTCACTGTGATATTCATTGTTAGCTGATTATTTTCTTTGCTAAATATCATGGTTTTTGTCTTTTTCAAATTTATATCTAATCCAAATTCTGCACTCCTTCTGTCTACTTGCTATACTAGGTCTTGCAACTCCTGCTCACTCTCTGCTAGCAACACTGTGTCGTCCGCATATCTCAGATTGTTTATTATTCTACCATTGATGTGCAGTCCTGGTAATTCTACAATTTCTTTAAAAATGGTTTCTGTACATAAGTTGAAAAGGCTAGGCGACAGCACACATCCTTGTCTTACTCCTCTCTTGATCTCTATCTGGGGTGAGCAGATGTTGTCATATCTTACTGTTGCTTCTTGCTCCCAGTATAAGTTTCTAATAAGTCTGATTTCCTTTCCATCTAGTCCTATGTTTTGAAAAGCTGCAATTAGTTGTTCATGTTGCACTCTGTCAAAAGCTTTTTTGTAATCTATAAAACATGCATAAATATTTTTCTGAACTTCTATATATTTTTCAGTCAGCATCTTTAGACAGACAAATTATGGCCTCTCGAGTACCACTGTTTTTACGGAATCCAAATTGCTCTTCAGAAACTTCTTTCTCTATTTTATCTTGAATTCTTGCTTGTATTATCTTCAAGAGTAACTTAGTTACGTGACTCATTAGGCTAATAGTTCTGAAATCTTCACAATCAACAGCTTTTGATTTCTTGGGTAGTGTGATAAAAACAGATGTTTTCATGTCCCTGGGAAAGTACACATAGTTATAAATGTCATTGCATATTTCTGTGATAGTATCAATTCCAAAAGTAGATAATGTTTTTAACATTTCTGCAGTTATGTTGACTGGACCTGCAGCTTTTCCCTGCTTCATCTGTTTAATGTCTTTCTCTACTTCAGACTTTAATATGTTTGGTCCCTCTTGAATATTATGGATTGGCGGTTTGTCACCTCTGTTGTCCCAAAACAGGTCTTCTGTGCATTCAGTCCATCTTTTTATTATATCTTTCTTATCAACAATAATTGTTCCATCCTTCCCCCTAATACAACCATTTCCTGTTAAATGTTTTTCCTTGTTTGTAAGTTTTCTTATATTTGCATGTATTTCCTTGGTTCTGTGTTTTATTTCAAGATCCTCTATTTCTTTGCATTTTAAATGAATCCATATTTCCTTCGCAGTTCTACACATATTTCTTATTTCTTTGTCTATTAATGAATATTCTGGAGTGTTTTTTGCTTTCTTCCTTTGTGTCATTTTGTTAATAATTTCCTCAGTTATCCATACTTGATTTTTCTTGTTTTCTTTCACTGGTAAGATGGCATTAACTGTTTCTATACTAGTTTTGAAACATTCCCATTTTGTATGAATTTTGTCCTCTGGATTCTCCCGTCGATATTGTTCCATGCTTTCAACTATTAATCTGTCATATTTATTTTTAACCTCCACTAGGTACTGCTGGCTTATTTCTGGCTGTTTCAAAGCTGATATGTCTATGTGGGGTGACCTTTACGTTTTTATTCCTGCGTTTTCAAGTTTAATTTGTATTTTTATTACCACATGGTTGTGATCTGAATTTATATCCGCACCTGGGTATGTTTTAGCGTTCTTTATGTTGTTTTTGAATCTGTCTCTAATCATTACATAGTCAATTTGGTTTCTATTTATATCTCCTGGACTCTTCCACGTTCCATGCTCATTGCACGGGGTTATCTCAGATGGCTCATCTCCGCAGAACAGCTAGCCACCTACAGAGAGCACCACACAGAGCACCAACTTCCGTAGCTCCGGCAAGAAACCCCAGTTCCCCAGTTTTTTCATCAAGAGCTCTTTACAACATTTTCCTTTAACCTCCCTATACTTTTTTAGCCCTGCGGGTTCCAATGCAAGAATTATTTTATTATTTTATTATCATGTTTTTAATCACATAAACACATCAAATGTAACTATCATCTCAGAGTATCATGATTTTTGACATAGCATGAAAATATCTTAACAAAATTACGATATGACACCACCTTTCTTGATGATAAGAGATGCATGGCAATCAAAAACCATTGCCAAGGTAAGTGTAATCTAGCAAGACCTGCTCATGTTAAGAACAGTCTTCCACAGTTGAATCACAGGGGCTGGGCAGTCTGGGGGGTTTTCTTTAGCACATGAACGAAGCGACTATGGGGGCAACCCATTTGTTATGAAGTAGAAATTGTGATTACCTGGCTTTTCATACATCTTTGGGGAGTGGGGGGGGGGGGGGGGGCACTTCCTCCCTTGTCTATCCCCATACCTCCATTTCCCTCTCACACTTTTAGTTTTCCTTAGATTACCAAGTTACAATACTTTATCACACATTCTCCCTGCTTCCCACCACCTCTCTTTTTCCCATTCATATATATATATATATATATATATATATATATATATATATATATATATATATATATATATATATATATATATATATATATATATATATATATACACACACACACACACACACAATCTGACCCTTTCCCCCCCCCCCCCCCCCCCCAATTTTCAATCTTTTCTTTATTTGTATGTTCTTTTCTTAACACATTACCTTTATACACTTGATCACCAAACTGAAAGTCAAGCATTCTTTTGATTTTCCTCATTTCCTGTTGTAAATATTAAATGATAATATAGAACAAAACCATCAAGTGATGAATTTAAGACATTTAACAAAATTTAAACCCAAAAAAAAAAGAAAAGGGAATACATGTAAGAGCAAGTAAAATCTGATCAGTAAAAAAGAATGAATGTAAAAGTTTGAAAAAAAAAAAAAAAGACATTTTTAACATTTATGGCCAAACTGAACATATTAGGCTAGACCTATATTTTAAAAACCAATCGATACTTGGTGTGTGATGTGGTCAACATCATGCCGGCCACCTTTACTTCCCAGGACTGCACCTGGTTTCCACTAAAGGCTGGGTCGACCCGGGAGCCAAGGTCATTTTTTAAGAAAGCCTGGTTCTGTCAGGACCCGAACTCACAACCTTCTGACCCGCAGGCAAGCATCTAACCACTAGACCATGGTGACTCGTAAGAATGAATGTAATGAACAATATTCAAATAGATCAGCTAGTAGACAACAGGTAATCTTGTCAACATAACCAGTACCTCATTCAGGTAGACTAAAAAATCTACGAGCGACGTCCGTGGCTTAAGCATTGCGTGTCCGACTTGTATTCCAACGTACCGCGATCGAAACCCACTGCTGGCTGCGTGGATTTTTATCATGGTATGGGGCGTCGCAGGTCGATCCTGAGGAAGTAAAGATGGCCGGCGTAATGCTGACCACATTACCCATCCAGTGTCGATTGACCTGTAAAAATATTGGATGCTCTACCCATATACCCGATGCACCTAAGGTGTGAGAAGGGATCTTTACTTTTCACTTCTTACTAAATAAGCTCCAACTAAGGGCCTCATAATCTGCAGGGTAGTCCACAAACTCTTATATTTTTCATAAATGCAATTTTCTGTTAATCTATTAAATTTGCTGCTAGAAGAAAATCACCACTTGCCCTATCCATTGTAAAGATTTCAATGTCCAGGTGGGCAGCTTGCAGAATTGTACCTCCTGGAGTTTCATAGATGCCTGCAAACAAATAGAGTCAAGTCAAGGGCAAATAAAAGTCAAGTCAAGGGCAAATAAAAGTTAGGTCAAGGACCAATAAAAGTCAAGTCGAGGGTAAATAAAAAATCAAGTCAAGGCAGATGAAAGTCCAGTCAAGGGTAATTAATGGTCAAATAAAAAATAAATAAAAGTCAAGGACACATAAAACTCAAGTAAAGAACAAGTGAAAATCAAGTAAAGACCAAATAAAAGTTGCATGAAAAACACATAAAAGTCAAGTAAGTAAAAGACACAAAAGTCAAGTTAAGGATAAATAAATACATTTCCCTTGCATTTTACAGAAATAAATCCAGGTCAGTGCTTGTAGATCACAAAATTTAGTTTTAAATCTGAAGAAATACATCCAGCTGACAGATATCAGTCTAGATGGAATGGACTCAAGGCACATGGCAACAACTGACAATTTTGATACATGAAAAAAAGGCAAAGAGAGATATGCCTGGATTGCTGCACCACATGGATAGGTCAAGACAGGAACAGTGACCTGATCTGTGATTCTGTTGATCGTGTAAAATGGCTAAACGTAACCGTCAGCGCTGACCGACAGGACTCATGATGTTGATCCCCCTATCAATGTCATTCAACAGCCATCAAAGCAGCAAACACACTGAGATAATTAGCAGTGCAATGAAGTAACACTATTGGTTTACATGGGAGCCACCCTGGTGTAGCGGCTAGACGCTCATCTGAGGATCCAAAAGTCCTGGGTTCAGGTCATGATGGTGCAGGACTTATTTTTTTTTTTTAAATGACCTTGGCTCTTAGTTGACCTCATCTTAACTGAGTACTAGGTGAAGTCCTGGAAAGTAAAGGCGGATGGCATGATATTGACCACATCACCCACTGAGTGTCGATTAGTCTATAAAATATAGGTCTAGCCATATATGCATGGTTTAGATTTCACTTGAAGAGTAAAGATAAAAATTTAGGAAAACACATGTTCAAGATCTTCATATTCATATTCCTGGGTCTACCTCTTCCTTTTTTTTTTTGGCATAGTATTTTCCCCTCATATACCGAAAGTTATGATTTGACACACAAGTCACTTCCATCAAAAGCAATACTTCACCCTCAGTAAAGGACCCTTTTTGTAAACACCATTTGTAATTCCAAAATACCCGGTCTAATTCCAGCTGCAGGTGATCAGGCAGCAAACAATTAGGCATTGATTTTGACAATGTTATGGAACTCTGACTGTTCAGAAGCAAGGGCAAACTACCAAACATAAAACTGTCTAGAAAAACCAAATAATGCTGGGTTGGTTCTGTAACATCCTGTACAGGATATTAAACTGACTTTTTATTTCATAGCCTGGGAGCCAAGGTCAGTTTTGAGAACATCTGCCTCGGTGTAGATTTGAGCCTTAGATCTTTCAGCCAGCAGGCATTTGTCCAGCTGCTATATGTCATCAAACCTCCCGATTACCCCAGAACAGAACGAAAATAAAGGTTTTACAGTTCTGGTAGACACCCTAACTTACCTCGGGATTTCATTCCAATGAATCTGTTTTCTACGAGATCAACTCTACCCACTCCATGTTTGCCCCTAAAATAATAAAAAAAACTTGAAAGATAAATTAAATGAAAAGAATATTTTTATGTGGGTTTTGCTGTGCCACCATCCACAATGAAGACTGGCTACGGGGTACCACTGCTGGAAACATCATGTGGTAAGGCAGCAGTATATTCCACAGTGCAACTCTCGTACAACTGTCAGAAAACCATATGAATTTTTTTTTAAGTAGCCATCTACCTCTGAAATGCAACCCTAGTCCTCGAGAGTCAGGGAATTGTTAAACTTGTTCACTAACCTCTCAGTCATAGGGCTCCGCTTTATATGTTTACTTAACATGTGATTTTGAACAAGGGTGTATTTTCTTTTTCCTTGTGCCTTCCTTCTTCCATCAAGTACAGGCCTGAACCAACTCAGAGATTACAAACAACTTCAAAGCTAATGTATTAGACAGTCAAAACAACAACAACAATGTGAGAATCAAGGCAGTTACCCCGTAGTGAAATTTAACAAAAACGACACAAACAACAGATTGCACAATTTATTGCCTGGCATATTTCGCTGTTATCTCATCAGGTGCATACTACAGTAACAACTGATTCAAATGAAGCTTTTAAACCGAAACAAAAAAAATCAGCTACATTCACAAGTAACTGCCCGCTTCCCCAGGACAACCGCAAATTGATGACCATGATTTTTTGTCTGCATAATTCTGAACTGAACCGGTACATAGCCGTTGCTTCCATGAATTGCTATAGTTTATGGTTCACTGAGGTATACAGAATTTGAAATACATCATCATTGTTTACAATGTGCCCAGAATCCAAAAGGTGGCTCACAATAATGATAGGTGAGCTTTAAGACCTGTCACCTGATTCGTTGTTGTTGAATCTTAGTATTTCATATTGCTTTTACTACCCATAGTGGAATATGTTGAGCGACCCATTTTCCTAGTCGTTGATCAGTTCAGCCCACACATGCAGTATTTAAATCAGTAAATACATTTTGGTTTAGCTTAAGCTGACACCTGTGATGAAAAGTGAACATCTCCAACTGTGTTAATCTCCTCCAACTTGTACAAAATGTCTGATGGCTTTTGTCTCAACTATAGTTTATAAACTTTCCCTCTCATGTTTGTGTTCACCGGCTGTAAACTCCAGAGGAAAGTTCCGGTTGTTCCTCCACTTCTGGACTTTGGCTTTGTTCCAGAAACTGGAATTTTGTGTGCACATCCATTTCTCAGATCTGACTTAAAGGTTTAAATTGAGAGGATCAACTTCATAAGTTTTATCCCACATGGCTCAGTCGCTCCCGGCAGAATAGCTAGCTGCCTGATGAGAGCCTCACACAAAGCTCTGGCGATGATCCTCAGAGGGGCTCCATAAAAACTGCACTCATGAACCAAACAACGCAGCCGTGAAACAATCCCACGACCTTGACTACTTCATAAAAGAGACTTCTATATGCTGACTGTTCATCACCTCTCAGGCAGATGCACTCGGACTTTATAGGAAACATCCCTAATTAGTCACCTTGTACGACATGCTTGTTAGGGGGTAGTGGGTCTATTCACCCCCCCCTCCCCCCACCCCGGAAGTTTACAAACTCAAAATCAATGTAAAATTATAACTTCAAGGAAAGAAACAAATGTCAATAACTGTATGACCTTACTCACCCAACAGCACTGAGATATGTACAAATGTAAAATTACAACTTTAAGGAAAGAAACAAATGTCAATAACTCTATGACCTTACTCACCCAACGACATTGAGGTATGTAAAAATGTCCAGGGCTTCTGTCTTAACCACAGATTCTGACTCGTTTGTCACCTTTACAGGAAGCCCTAGATAATGAAAATAGGTAAACAAGGCTTAGACGATAAAGCAGCTGTGCTTCCCCTTTTACTTCTAGTTAATTAGAGGGTAAATTAACATCTGATGCAGCTATAGAAACCAAGTACTGGGACAGCCAGGCGCCTCCCCCTTTTTTTTCCCCCACAACATTAAGACAGTCCCAATCAGCCACAGAAAAAGCAAAACCAAGCACAATCATCCTGTCCCTGTGTTACCAGTGCCAGACATGATCACTAGCAACAAATTTTTAAAAAAATTTATAAACATGAAAGGTCTCAGAAAGGCTGCAGGAGTGACAAGAAGTGAAACTCCCAAGAAAGAAATGTCAGCAAAGAACTAATGCATTTTGGACAGCAAAACAAAAAACTGGTTTGCCCCTTTAGAGCGACGCTTTGTAAAACCATACAAAGCGAGTGGGGAGAAGAGCAAGAGGTAGACTAAGAACATGATGGAAAGATAACAATAAAGAAATTCTACAACGGTTTGGTGACTATGGTGGAGCAGGATAGAAGAGCAAGAACCAGGACCCTAGGTCTCCCTCAAAACCCAAAATGGTGAAAGAGGAAGTGACAAATTAACTAGAGGTTGGAACAAAGATCAGCTGTGCATTTCTTCTCGACTATTTTGCACAGTTAAAAATATATTTTGTTTTAAATAACATTTTTTTTAAACTTTACCCTAAGAAACTGGAGGAAGAGAAAAATACGCTGACAAAATTTTGAGTCTTGGTCAGTTTTTATAAAACTCCAGGGGGTTGAAACCTATGACCACTGAGCAGACAGGTAAACCCGCTAGCTACTACATCATCGTGGCAGGAGCAGGAGTGGGTTCTTGAGCAGAATGTTGCAAACACCTTGGATGCTAGAATAGCAAACAATTATTGCCTGGAAATGGCTAGTGAAAGTAGAACATTATACACAGCCAGGAGAAGGAGACAAACAAATTTCTTTGGTCAAGTGATGAGAAAAAGAGCACAGGAAAATATTGTGACGACTGGAAAGATCACTGGTAGAAGAGGCAGAAATAGATCAAGAGAAATGATGGTGGATGGCTTATGACAGTGGGCATGGAGGAATGTCATCAGTAGAATTGATCCAGAACACCAAAGACCGAGATCTGTGGAAATGCATGAACACCTACGCTAGCTGGCAAGGCACTTGATAATGATTTACCATAGAGTATTCTTGATTTACCCATAACTTCAAAAAAAAAAAAAGATAAATATTGATAGCCCCACTGTTAACTACGGAGAAAGATTGTTACTCTCACTGCAGAAACACTGATATTCCACTATTCACAAATAAATACAGAAACATTGATATTCCACTATTCACAAATAAATACAGAAATGCTGATGTTGCAACTACTGCCAAGGGTAAGAGAGCCAGCTCTATGAGGAGTGTGGTTTGGTTTGTTTTTAAACAATAGATCAACATCATGGCACAAAGGCAGTAACGCATAAGTGCTCCGATCTACTTTTAACTCAAGCTTGAGTCCAAAGAGCCTCAGCACAATGCACGAACTCTGTAGCACCAGTGAGGATCCTGAAATACTTTGGTAGATTTTATAACTCAAAATTGTGCATGGGTGGCGCCGTTAGGCTACTCTTTTAAATTTCCAACTACCAAGGGATTTTTTTACGGGCGCAACAATACACACGGGCATCCCATTTTACCACCCAGAGACCAGGGGAAAGTACTAAAATTCCTGTGAAAAAAATCCAAGCCTCCCCCGGGGCCTGAGCCCGCGACCTCCAGCACTTGAGGTGGACGCCATACCTCGAGACCAGGCAGACCCCATAAATGTTGACATCTCACTATTCCTAATTAAATCAAGAATTTAATAATCCCAATATTCCAAAGTAAATACAGAAATGTTGGTATTCACACAATTCCTATTACATAAATTTTTATCTTACACAACAATTCAAAATAAATAAATGTTAATTCCAACTATTCGCATTAGAGAAATATTAATATTTCCATCAGTCAATAGCGTCTGATAAGAAATACGATGATTGGACTGAGATGATTGAACTGAGATGGTTGGACTGATCCTTTTGAAATAATTGCCTTTTTCAAGTCATGAACAAACAAGAGCTTTGATGGCACAAAGTATGTTCTTACCTTTCTTGAACTCAATAACAATGACCTCTGCTTTGTCTGGGGCTTTCTCTGGATCAGTGGTCATCTGATAAAGTCCAGATGGAGCATGATGGTCAGGATCTTCAAGCACTCCAGATTCATAGCTATTGACATACATTTTAAAATGTATCACTGCTTAATTAAAACACACAACAAATCAAATGGTTTGGCCATGTAACAGGATTGGCATCAGACAGGGCACCACAGACAGCAATGCTATAATGCCACAGAAATATCAGAGACACTGAAAAGTATTTCATACGAAGCTAAGAGAAGGGCCAGTTTCAGAGATCTCTTCTTGCTCTGACGCTGAAGGCATCCAGGAGTAGAGGAACGAAGAAGAAGAATTAAAACATGGTTTCTTTATGAAAAATGGGTGACTGCAGTCAGGTTGATGACCAGAAGTGCTGAATACATCACAGAATGTGACTAGAAACCTCAGTGGAGGGAATGGAAAAGATGCATATAAAAACATCCGAAAGTTTCAATCAAAGTCTTTATCAGAAGAGTGCTAAATACGGATTTTGTTCCCTTGATTCCACCTCAACACCTGTATCATTCATGTCCCACTTGCCCACATCTTTTTACCGTAGTAGAGGTCGGCCTCGACATCTTCTACCTGTCTTTAATTATTAGAGATAACAATTCTCTAATTGTAATGTTATTGCCTCTGATGTAGGGACCTGCATGGGGCACCGCGGCAAGCATGCTGGCTTCCATGCTGGTAGTCATAAGGTTGAATCCCCAGCAAAGCATATTTTTCTAACATGACCTAGGTTTGCAGGTTAAAGCTGCCTAAAAATGGGTACCAGACAATGATCTAGATCAGGGCTTTTTAACCTGTGGCCCATGGGCCAAATCCGGCCCACAGAGGCATAGCAAGTGGCCCGCAGATAATTGACAACTGTATGGTAATAATGGTATTTCTGTGCTAGGGCTTGAACCTCTGGCCCGTGACGATGTCTATTTTCAACATTTTTTCAGATGAGTGAACTTTGCTGAAAGGCCAAATTCTAGATAGTTAGGGCAGTTGGCACCACCACTCAACCAGAGCTAACAAGGCTACTAAAAAAAAATTATAGCACTAAACAATATGCCTACGGCATGAAAATAGATTGGTTCTTTCTCTTACCACTTATGTTCCACTTGGACATGCAAAACATAAGCCTGATAACAGATCCATAATTGTCCCTAATGGCCTATTAACAGGCAATTTTCTTTCGCTCTAAATTACACATTATGGCCATCCCATAATCAGATGAAAGCCAAATTCATCATTTAAACCTACAAAAATAATTAAACTATGGCAAATTAGTTTTCCAGCTTGCTCAATTTTGCTGTGTAGATTGTTAAAACTTAATGGATTCATTAATGAAGAAAAAAGCGTCCAGAGTCACAAACCTGATGTGCATTAGATTAGCATCCATACTCCAGGGTGTTTTAGGGGTCACAGGTAAAGAGATTCCATGCTCCTGTTAAAAAAACAGTAAAGAAGATTGAGTATAATCAGTTTCAACGAGAGTCTCCTTCATGTCTATCCACAACCTTCTGTCTCATGTACTTTCAATCAACTCTGACACAGATGATCCTCCATGCCATGATGTCATCCTCATCCTCCATTTGTTTCCCATTTAAGTGCCCGTTTGGTGATTCTCTGTTCAGTTCTCTTCAGGATGTACTCAATATATCACCATCTCCTTTGTGTTTTAACTGTTGATACGAGTGGTTGTCCAGATGTTTGTCAAAGTGCTTTTCCTTTCTTGATTGAACTCATCTTATTTAATGTTTATCAATTTCTTTAGGCATTTGTTCTCAAATGCATTTAAATTTCATTGCATGTCTTTAAGAATTATGAGTTATGTACCAACATCACTGCACTTTAAACATTCGCATAAGCGATCCATCCCCATCTTCAGCATCAAGCACAACTTACAATTCAAATGATATGAGTAACAGTCTGATTATATGTCCATCTCTCCCGTTCCCTGTTTATTGAGTGTGGCCAGATCCCCCTGGCCACTCCTTGCTGCCCCATTCTCTTCAGGCTGTGATGATCTATTTGTGCCTCTAAACTGTTTACTTGCTCCCAAAGGGCCCTTACAGCATCTAGCTCTGGGCTATTCAACTGGCGGCCCGTGGGCCAAATCTGGCCCACTAAGGCCTAGCAAGTGGCCTGCGGATCATTGCCAGTTGTTTTGCATTTATGGTCTTTCAATGCAGTGGCTGGGACTCCTGGTCTGTAACAATTATAATTTGTGAACATTTTTGCCCCTGAGTCAACTGACCTGATCTAGCTTGTCATGCATCAATTTACCACCTAGTGGTGCAGAGCCAGCCAATTTGTCCATGTCTTTTTAAACTACTTACCTCAGCATACTTGAATAAGTCATTACGGCCAGGGAACCTCTTGTAGAACTCTGGCAACCTCCAGGGGGATATGACCTGCAGTAGATAGAGATCAAGAAATGTACACTGTAATCTCTCTTTACTGACTAAAGTAGCACTCTTTTGAGTTATGAGTTAGCACTCTGAGTTTTTGAGGCAGCACTCTTTGAGTTTTTGAGTCAGCACTCTTTGAGCTACGAGTCAGCACTCTTTTAGATTTTGGGTCAGTAATCTTTGAGTTATGAGTTAGCACTCCTTGAGTTATGAGTTAAGAACCGACATCGAAGCACTCTATCCCCATTTTCAGCAGCAAATGCAAAGTTCAAGTGTCAATGGCACTTGTAACAGTCTGACTGTATGTCCATCTCGTCCATCCCTGAGTGTTGAGCATCAAGTAGATCTGCTGGTCACTCCAAGCTGCACCATTATCTTCAGACCATGATGACCTATTTGTGCCTCTGTGTAGGACGGAAAGGGAGGGGGGTACATAAGCTTGAGAAATTAGGACCACTTGGCTAGTACACCTGCCATGTACTATGCAGGTTAGGAAGACTATTTATGTCCAATACTAAAAACATGTTCACTGGCTTACTGAAGATTTGAACCCAGATCTACTGCATCAGCACCCAGCATTCTAACGACCTAAGTGGTAAAATAAAAAGATGCTTGCCTCTGGGTCCCAGTCCGCATCGAGGTAATGCCCTAATAACCTTGGAAGTAAAGGTGGCTAGCATGATGATGACCACCACACCCTCCATGCCCCTCTTATCACTAGTCAAAAATACTGGATAGAGCTCTGACCTCTCTTTAATCAATTCCACCCCCCCCCCCCCCCCCCCCACACACACGAAAAACATTGGGGCGACTCCTCACACCACGCCCTACTTACCACCTTACAAACATTTTAAACAAATAATTGGGTTTGAGGTTGGGGGGATGGGAGGGGTGGAGCGCTCAGAGTTTTGAGACCCCTCCCCATCCTACATCTAATTAGGGGGTGGCGCTATAATTAAAGTCAGTTGTTACTCCATTTTGAGTCTGGTGAAGTCACTGGAATGGTGTTTAACATAAGACGCCCTCAACAAAGAGCTTAGCTAATTATTTGGGAAGCTCAGCTCCACACATACCCCCCATCCTTTCCCCACAACAAAAGAATTTGGGAGGGCTGGGGGGGGGGGGGGGGGGGGGGGGGGGGGAGTTCAAGAAACATGAGCTCCCAGGTTCTGGCACCTATGATGCAGACTGATGGTTCTTGGCCTCTCAGGCAGATGCTCTCTGACTTCAAAGAAAGCCTGCCTAATTAGTCAGCCTCTACAACATGCTTGTTGGAAATGGCACTGGCTCTATTATTTCTGTCTCTACAATGGGGCCCCAAAAACTCCCCGGGGACTGGCTCTATTATTTCTATCTCTACAATGGGGCCCCAAAAACTCCCCGGGGACTGGCTCTATTATTTCTATCTCTACAATGGGGCCCCAAAAACTCCCCGGGGACTGGCTCTATTATTTCTATCTCTACAATGGGGCCCCAAAAACTCCCCGGGGACTGGCTCTATTATTTCTATCTCTACAATGGGGCCCCAAAAACTCACCGGGGACAAAGTCAAACAACTCATGAAAATCTGCAAATAGCTCGGTGTGGGTTTGTTAAGGAGCAGGCTCATCTGTGCACACAGCTCTATGGCACCTTAGTTCACTAGAATGATGAAACATTAATACAAGCAAATTACCTGATCCTGGCACTACACCTGTTTCACTTCATTTAAAGTAAAGCATCTTTGTTCCACGCCTTCAGGTGTATTTGGCATATAGGGTTAGACCTATATTTTTTACACCAATCGGCACTCAATGGGTGATTTGGTCAACATCTTGCCAGCTGTCTTTACTTCCCAGGACTTTAATTGGTACCCATTTAAGGCTGGGTCAACCTGGGGGCCAAGGTCTGGGTCAACCTGGGATCCAAGGTCTGGGTCAACCTGGGAGCCAAGGTCATTGTTGTAAAAATTCCAGCTCCATCAGGACATGAATCCACTACCTCTAGATCTACAGGCAGAGTATCTAGCCACTACACCATGGTAGTTTTACATAATAAGACAACAAAAATCAAAAGAAACAATATCTAATTACCTCAATGGAAGGATGGAGGGCATAAGCCCCAAGTTCAAATCGAATCTGATCGTTGCCTTTTCCGGTGGCCCCATGAGCAACATAGTGAGCATTTTCAGCAACTGCTACTTCAATCATTGCCCTGTTAATGAAATGAGGTTAATTTGTGTAGCTAATTACGCAACAAGGATAGAGGAAACACAAAGATTCATCATTATTTAGTAAGTGCCTTGCCAAATGTGGGGGTGATCATGCCTCTCCACAATCTGCAACGGCATGTATCAGTTCTTGTATTGACACCCCTCCATGCCATGACAGAAGGCTGTCAAGAATCTTCTCAAGTTATCTTTCTCTGTCTTTCTTTCCACAGATCAAAAAATGATGACTGTCTTTTACTGATGTTTGTAATAAGTTGTCTTCGAGCCTTCACCTCTTTTAAAACATATGGGTTGCTCTCTTTGGCTGTCCAAGGAATTTTAAGTATTCTTTTGTAAACCACATCTCCAAAGCTACAGTGTTTGTGCGATGCTCTCCGTAGATGGTCAATCATTCTGTGGAAAGAGACTGAGCCATATGAGATAAAACCCAGTGCAATGAAGTTGATCTTCTCATCTTTAACCTTTTGGCAGAGATAATATTGCTGTAATTGTAATGTAATAGGGATGCATGGTAGTCATTAGTTTGAATCCCAGCAAAGAATATTTTTAATAGCCATTTCCAGGCAATCATTGTTAGTCATCCTGGCAGTCCAAGGTATTCGCAGCATTCTTCTCAAGAACCATATCTCAGTTGCCTCCAGACTCTTCTTAATTTGTTTGCTCACATTCCAAGATTTACCATTCAACAGAACAGGTTCAATGTAACGTTTCAGTACTTGTTTTCTGATGTTTAATAAGAGAGATTTTATTACAAAAGATACTTTTCATTTGCTGAAATGCTGCCTTTGCCTGGCCAATTCTGCTCTTAATTTCTGTAACGCATTGTCCTTCTGATGTTTTGAATGTCAGCAAATACTTGAATTTATTGACTTGGTTAATCATTTTCCCTTCTATTGCTTTGTCACATTTTGGAATTATCTTCTTTGACATAACTATTGTTTCTGTTTTCTCAACATTCAAGGAAAGTCCCTTTTTTGCACTCTCTAGTACCACAAAGTCTAATAGTTGTAGATCTTCTGTTTACATTGTAACCTTTAACTAGCATTCGTGGTCTATCCTGGATCTCCTTCATAATAATTTCAATATAGAGAGAGAAAAGATCTGGTGACAAAACACATCCTTGTCCCTCTATGATATTGAAGAGATTTCACAGAACAGAAGGGAATTGAAGAGCAGACTGTGAGTCACATGTGACATATAATGGCACAACAGGACCATGAAGGAATCTTTGCTTTGCTAATTAGCATTAACTTTCATTACACATTCTTCAGACTGCTGCCATGTGACTTCTATATTCTTCTTCTTCAGCACTGCGAGCCCTTGAGGTTCATTGCTGCAGATATCACTTGCCTCCATTCATCACTCTGTTTGGCCTTCTCTTTCCAGTCGGTGACACCAAGTGTTTGCAGGTCTGTCTGGGTATAATCTCTCCATATTCTTCTTGGTCTGCCTCATGGTCTACGACCATTCAACTCCATTGTGTATACAGTTTTTACTTCTCTATCATTAACATTCTTTCAACATGCCCCAACCATTTCGGTCTATTCGCTCTCATGATGCCAGTGATCAATGGTGATTTAAACACATTATGAATTTCGTTGTTGCTTCTCACTTTCCATAGCCCACTTTTTTCATCTTTGATGGATCTAAAGATTCCCTGTAAGACTTTTTTTTTTTGAAAACTTTCTATAGATGTGACTTCTATAGATTTAAATATTAATTCCACCTGTTTTCAACTCAGCCAGCTGTTGTACTTTGTTCTGTTCAATTTCACGCTTTCCTGCTCCCAACATCACTAGGACAGTATCTGCTGCATATTGTCAGTTTGTGAAGCTTTAAATAGCATTAACCTGGGACTCAGCTGGCCTTACATCTCCACTTGAGTCATATAATTTGCTGTTCCATATTGTTGTTCCCTCAACTTTTTGTTTATGGATACACATGAACTTAATTTATTTTCACTGCTGCTTTATAGTTTCAAGTAAAACTATTTCTATTTGAAAATTCAACTTCTTCTTCTGCATTAGCACTTAAAAAGGTGGCGGGTGTGTTGAGTTGAGGTTTACAGCTAGGCTGCAACATCTGCACCTTTCCATTTAACACATAGAAAGTTCTAGCTGTTCATCCACCTCTAGACTTGAAGTCTTGTGTCCATAACTGGAATTGTGCATGCAAATCTGTTTTACAGATCTGGTTTACTTGTATGAGCAACTTCTGGTACCTCATCGCTCAGGCAAATGTGTTGTGTGGTCTCAGGGCATGGTGTCTGCATCAAGTGCTAGAGGTTCCAGGTTCAATCCCTAGTAGCCCCCCCTCCCCCCCCCCAACCCCAAATGGGGCCCAGATACCTGACAGGAAATTATTTCAACAAAAGTACAGCTAACCATTTCAGGAACCTCTTCACTGTAGAAACTGTTCGAAAAATATGTTAACAAAAAGTACAATAACTGCATATACTCACTTTGCAATCAGGGGCCTAGCCAGAGACGTTCCCAGCAAGTATCTATCTTCATATGTTGCATTGGCCAAAACTGCGGGCCAGATATAGTCCTCAACAAATTCTTTACGCAGATCAGGAACCACCATCTAAATTAGAAAGACATAATTTTTGCTCTATTAGCACTGGATGACAACTTTCTTTAAAATTTGCAGTCCAAGAGAATATTACAGCAGAAATTCAATTTGGCACAATAACCACAGCATCAACTTACCACTATGTCACATTCAAAGATACAACATACACTGTGGTGAACAGTGAAATATTTCTGCATATTTCTTTAGCGTACACAGACCTAACACAGAAAAAAAAAAGACATTGTGTTGCGGTAATACACATGGGTATTATAGGGATAGGCACACACACTGTGCGTTTGTTGGGATAGAAACAGTTCATCTTGGACAAGTAATAATAGATGATAGCAGAAGTGAAACGGCAATTAAAAAAGAGAAAATGAGGGGCCACAGATATATTTAACACCATGGCAAAAATAGTAATGTCTTGAGTGGCAAAACAATACATAAAAAAGCTTACAGAAAAACATTGTTAACATGAATTTCAGGGTAACGAAAAATGAAGGAGTTTGTGTTTAAAAAATGTTTGCTAATCAAGGATTAATGGATATATTATGAATAATACATCCCTGCAGGGGCCAACATTTTGTTTGTGTTAACTGAGTGTTCATGTTAAGCAAGTTCAGACAATGTCTTGCTATACCAGACAGGTTTCAATAGGCAAGATATAGAAAGGACTCTGTGAAAGTTGGTAAGGAAGATGAAATATTTCTGCATGTTAATCTTTTGTATTTCATATTTAAGTACGTGAATTTTTGAGATGTCATTTTTGTGAATGTGAATGTATGAGATGTTATATTTGTGAATGTGAATGTTTTGGATGTTATATTTGTGAATGTGAATGTCTGGGATGTTATATTTGTGAATGTTTGGAATTTTATAACACTGTTAGGCTTTTCTTTTCGATTAACAACTGTCATGGTTTTTTTTTTACACGCGCAAAAAATCCATCGGGCATCCGATCTCACTACCTAGAGACAAGGGGAAATTACTAGAAGTGAACAGAAAAAATCCCAGCCTTCACTGGGGCTTGAACCCGGGACCTCTAGCACTCGAGGCGTGACAAAACCTCACGACCATGCACTGTTATACATCCACAGCTGTTACTCCAAGATGGTGGTCAGTTGATAAATACTGGAAAAAAAAAACTAACGGAAGCAGATTAACAGGAAAGTGTGTGCTGTGTAACACAAGAATGCCTTAAGGTTCCACCTATCAACTTCAATTAGGTCAATGACCAGTTTCCACGACTTTATGCATTTAAGGCTAGACGTTTTTTTTTTTCTTTTGCATCTGGGTCACGATAATTTCAGGCGTACGCCTTTCCCGTTAGTATCTATTGCCTCCTCTGTTTATAGTAAGCAACATATGAGTCTGCTTTGCACATACCCGAGTACGATATTTTACTTTCAAACTTAAAAATACGCGCCGTCGGATAACTATGCGCTTTTTTTAAAGTATATATCTTATGTATGTATGTTGGTAAATATGTTTGTCTTATGTGTGAATGTATTTCTTCTGTATGTACGTAGTTATGTATGTTAGTATGCGTATAAATGTGTCTGTTCGTGTCTGTCTGTTCATGAGCCGCTATGCCTACAACAGATCCACCGCGCCCCTCCTTGCCCCTATTGCTTTACTTCCCGGGTGACCAGCACACTTGTCAACATTTCTTTCCTTTAAGGTATAAACAAAGACGAGCCACCAGAGCACGTTGTGAGATAACACAACCAATTTTAACACGTGCCGACCCAGTTCAAGGGATACGTCACTTCTCGGAATGAATCAGTCAAGCGGTGACAAGTTTAAAAACTGAGACCGGAAATCTCTGGGAAATGTCGGTAAAAGTCGGTGGTGTTGTTGCCAACTAGAGAAATGGGTGTTTGGGGTTAAAGTGCGGGAACAAATATAACTTACTAATATCTAAGGCGATGATATCTAAGGCATAAACAAAAAAGAATCACAAGGCCGACTTAAAACAGGTGGCTGACAAAAGTTCAAAGACCGGATATTCCGCTGCATTAATGACCGATTAAGACCCGACATTTCTTGTAAACATGGACAAGAGAACCATGTCTTTGTTGTTTGCTAAATAAAGTCATATCAGGTTACAGTCTGGGCATACAAATAAGTTATTGGGTATCTAAAGCGGTCAAAACTAGGATATTATTGTCCGGTTTTCATAAGAAAGAGGTCCGTTAAATATTTTGCCCCAGATACAACAATTTGTGACCATATTACTGGCAATTTTGTTTTAACAAGATTGAATTTAAAAACGCTTAGTATATTTTAAATTAAAATCAGGCTAGAGTATACGTGTGGGAGTGTATGCATGGGTGTGAGAGTGTATGTGGCTGTAAGTATGAACGTGTGACTGTTTGTATGTGCGTAAATATGTATGCGCGTGTTATACAAGTATGTATGTATATTTGAATGCATTCATTTACCACCTGTGTTTTTGTACTTTCAATTGATATTCATATTATGTATATTGTTATATGAACTAAAATGTGTTACTGATTAACAATATTTGGTTTCCGAAAGCTCAGTATTCTTAAGTGACCAAACTTGTGACCCTTCGAAAGAAAAGTTAAATTTATCAATCATCTATCTATCTTGCCCGAGTTGAGAGTTGGAATCCGAGTAGCCTGAAAATATTATGGGAAGTAAAGGCAGTCGGTGTTATGTTGACACACGTGACCTACCGAGTTCAGACTGGTCTCTCAAAATGTAGGTCTAGTACTACAAACCGGATACTTAAACAAGATGTCGCTTTCTAAACAAACACCGGCTGGAAGTTAGAATGCGGTCAGACAAATAAGTTACCGATATTTATGTCGGATAAGATGGTGCTGTTATTGTCATTGCCACTAAATTTATAGTAGAACTCAAGAATAGATTTCAAACCCTATAAAGTGACCCAGAAACTCCAACTACAATCAGCATTTAAGACAGATGGAAACAGATCAAAGAAACATACAAATCAACTAGCAATAACATATTAGGAACCAGGAAACAACACCACAAAGAATGGATAAGTAGTCAAACCATGGACCATATTGCCAAGCGAAAAAGAATAAAGAGCCTCATAAATCACACTAAATCAGAACGTCAGAAAGACAAACTAATGTTAGAATATAGCGAACTAAACAAAATGACCAAGAAAAGTGCCAGAGCTGACAAGAGAAGATTTATGGAAAATCTTGCAGAAACAGCAGAAAACCCTACACAAAATTACCCAGCAAATTTGCGGAAACAGAAACACTTATCACAGCATACCCATCAGAGATAACTAAGGCAGACTGCTCACCACAGAACAAAAACAAGACATACAGTGGACTAAACACTTCTCCAACCTCTTGAACAGACCTGATCCTGAAAATCCCCCAGATATTCAACCAGCCTCTCAGGACATTGACATTATTACTGAACCACCAAGCAAACAAGAAATCCTTAAAACTATCCACACTTTAAAGAACAACAAAGCACTAGGCAAAGATGAACTGCCAGCAGAACTTCTCAAAGTAGATCCCAACACAACTGCTAGCATTCTAGAACCATTGTTCAAGGATAATTGGGAAAAAAGAAGTGTTGCCTGATGACTGGACTGAAGGAACAATAGTCAAAATCCCCAAATAAGGAGACTTAACAGACTGCAATAATTGGAGGGGAATTACTCTACTCTCAGTACCAAGCAAAATATTTTTGTAAAATCATCATAATGCGGCTTGAAAAAGGAGTAGACAAATGCCTACGAGTGGAACAAGCAGGATTTAGAAAGGGCAGAGGGACAACTGGGCACATCTTCGCCAAACGTAACATTTTAGAACAATGCAACGAATGGCAGAGAAGTATATATATTAATTTTGTGGACTTTGAGAAAGCTTTTGACAGCGTCCATAGAGACATTATGGAATTCCAGAAAAAATAGTCAATATAATTGCTCTCTTCTATGAAGACTTTTCCTGCAGTATAAAAAATTACAATACATCTTTCCCAGTAAAGACGGGTGTAAGACGGGGATGTGTTATGTCATCTCTCCTCTTCAACCTTGCGATTGATTGGATACTAAAGAACACAGTAGACAGGACATTAAGAGGCTTACGATGAACTCCATTCACCATGCTTGAGGACCTTGATTTTGCAGATGATATAGCACTCCTATCACATAAACATGAACATATACAAGAGAAAAGTAACAGACTAAACTGCACAGCAGAAATGGTGGGACTGAGAATAAATACAAAGAAAACTAAGATCATGACAAACAGTTCAAACCAACAAACAGTGACCATAAGTAACCAATCACTTGAAAATGTAGAACATTTCACATATCTTGGCAGTGTGGTGTCCCTACTGGGAGGGACAGAGGAAGACATACAGTCACGTCTGAACAAAGCTAGAGCTGCTTTTGGAAGGATGAGGCAAATCTGGAAATCCAACAATTACTGCAGAGGAACGAAACTCCGTATCTACAAGAGCATCATTTTGCCAGTTCTTCTTTATGGAGCAGAATGCTGGAGAATGACCAAAAAAGATGCACACAAGCTGTCCACCTTCCACCACACATGTCCACGTAGAATTATCAAAATTTTCTGGCCAGATACAATCTCAAACACTAAACTACTTCAAGCCACAAACCAAGAAACTTTAGACAGTATGATTACCAAGAGAAGATGGAAATGGCTTGGCCACGTTATGAGAATGACTTCTGATTCACCTGCCAAAACAGCTCTCACATGGACACCAGAGGGAAAGAGAAAACAGGGGCGCCCAAAAACAACATGGAGACGAACGATGGAAAGTGACCTGAGTGCGGTATCTTTGACATGGAAAACTGCACTGAAGATTGCACAGGACAGGAAAGCATGGAAAGTCCTCTCTGAAGCCTCATGTGCCACTAGGCATAACGAGAACTGATGACGATGATCACAGCACTCGGGACACCCCCATAAGCGTTCCGTCCCCATCTACAGTAGCAAGCGAAGAGTTAAAATTCCGATGGTATCAGTATC